AAAATGAGAGTAGGTACCGATTTCCAAAGATGTTTCCATCGTCTGGAGAGTGCAGCTGTTCTGATGGCGTCTTTTGTGGAGGGTAAACGAGACAGGATTTCAAGAAGCAAGCATTCTTGCAACGCATTGATTCCATTCTCTTCTCCCTTCTCCTCGCTTTCGTGAAACTTTATCCGTTTCGAGGCAATTTTAGGTTGATTTTATCCTTCTTCCAACATTTTCAAGGCTGCAACAGAGCCCTCGGTCTTTTCCCCATGAATAACTGCTCAATGCTCACATTAGGCGTAAACGTGTATACAAATGGTGAAATAAAGTTTTGTTTTAGCCCTTAATTATACTTTGACAAATACAGTTCTGTCCTTATAAATAATTATGAAATATATTTTGATATTCAAATCAATTTTTACTGATTAATTATCCGCAGAAAAAATTGAACGCAGCAGAAAATTTACATATGCATAAAAGAAAGAAAATTTAATATTTGGGTTATGTTTAATTACACAAAATAGATAGACCAAAAATGTTATATATTTGCGTTGTAATTAAGAAACTAAATGTTGTAATACGCTCAAAAAGATATCGTTCAAATGGTGAAATAAAGTTTGTTTTAGCCCCATTAGTAATAACTATGATCAATGTGCTTTGGAATTTGCCTTTATTTGTTTTTGAAGAAATTGTCTTAGTGGATAAGTCAGTTGGGGACAGTCCTATTCTCATGGGTAGAACTAGTCTTCTGCATTCCAGAATCTTGGATTTTTCAGTTTCTGAATATTGGGTATTTAATCCCATTGTTTCTAGTTGATTCAATAAGAAGCTTTTCAACCCATCTTCTTCTCTTTTCTGTGTTCTAACATTTGGTATCAGTGTTTTTTCAAGCTTTTTAAGGGGCCTGATGGAAAAATGAGTAAGAGTAGCACCAACAATGGAGCGTTCGTGCAAACATAAGCAGATTTGGGACTCGATGGCTATTATGAGAATTGTTCCAAGTTGATGGAAAACTTCCTTCAAGCCAAGGAGTATTGGAGTTTGATAGAAAATATATAGGATTTGCTCTATTTTCATTCATATATCCTCTCCTTATTTCTTGGTCAATCAATTATCTCTTTCCTTGTTTAGTTGATTGTTAGGCTTATTTATTTTCCTCTCTCTCTGTTTGTAACAACCACAAGAAAGAAATCAATCAAAAGCAAAAAGTCATTCTTGAGTTCTTTTAACCATCGATTTCTAGATGGTATCAGAGCGGTTTTAAAATCAATCAATTCTAGCATCATGACCGGAAGAAGCGAGGGTGACAAAGGTAGATCCAGCGCAAGCGCGATCAACTTCTCGTCGCCATATTACCTACATCCTTTATATTCCCCTAAGCAACCTACCGTCAATGAGGTTCTTACGGATGGAAACTACAACGATTGGGTGCGAGAGATGACCAATTTTCTCTTAGCCAAAAATAAAATAGATTTTGTTGATGGAACCTTGAAGAAGCGAGAGATTTCATCTTCCGAATACAAACCATGGATGAGGTGTGATGCGATGATAAAGGGGTGGCTTACCACAGCCATGGAGAAAGGGATACGTGACAGCGTGAAATATGCTAACACATCATCAGAGATTTGGTCAGATCTGAAGGAAGGATTTGGGAAGGAAAGTGCGCCAAAGGCTTATGAATTGAAGCAGAAGATCGCCGCTACACGTCAAGAGGGCAGTAGCGTTTTGACCTACTACACCCGTCTCAGGTCATTATGGGATGTGTCCCATTAAATTTTTTCTTTTCCATGTTGTTCGTGTAACAAATGTACGTGTGAACTGGACAAGAAAATTATTGCTCACCTTGAGAAACAACTATTTGAGTTTCTTATAGGTCTAGACAACGACTTCAATGTTATAAGGACCCAGATCTTAGCAACAAAACCTGTTCCTACCTTAGGGATGGCCTACCACATGGTTGCAGAAGATGAGAGGCAAAGAGCCATATCGCTCGAGAACCGAACTGGACCACAACCCACTGCATTCAAAGCATTCCAGAGACGTGATAACAACTTTAGACCCTCGAAAGAAAATTACATGGCTAAACAATAAAAGGAAAACAAGGAAGACGACCAATGCACTTTTTGTGGGAGGAACGGTCACAAACGAGAAGGGTGTTTCAAGCTAGTTAGTACCGATTGGTGGCCCGGGAAGAAAGACGACAAGACAAAACCGAAAGCAGCATGTCACTACTAGAAAACAGAGCAATAGCGACAGAATTTTAGCGACGGAAAAAATCCGTCGGAAAAAGAGACGGATTTCCAACAGAAACTATTTGGATATTAGCGACTATTTCGCGACGGTTTAGCAACGGAATAAAATTGGTCGGTAATCCGTTACAGTATACCGACGGTTTACCGACGAAAATCAACAAAATTGAAATTCCGTCGGAAATCCGTTAGTTAAATTCGATTTTCTTTTTTTATTTTTTTAAATATTTAGGGCAATTCCGTAAATATGCGACTGAAACTAAAAACAGAGCGTTTGCCCTACTCTCGCTTCCCCCTTTTGTCTTTCCAGTTCACGTGAAGAACAAACACCTCCCACTCATCTCCGGTCTTCAACCATCCGGCCACTGCATCCGCCATCACCGCCCGCAGCCAAGCCCTCCGGCTCCTCCAAGTCTTCGACACAACATGCCTTCTCCCTCCCACTGTCGTTCTGACCTGCAACCCACCGCCTCTTAACCGAGTAAAATTGCTCCCATTTATCTCTCTGCGAACGACGGCTAGCCTCGCGCCCTCGCCTTAGTCTATTGCCGCCGCCACCACCGTCGAAGTTGCTGCTGCACATGGTGGACCTTACCATTGGTCCGATTTCACCTTTTTTTCTCTCCAAGTTTTGGTAAAAAAAAAACCCTAACTTATTTTTTCTATTACATCGATTGAGTTTTAGGTTTATATTTTTTCTTCAGTGGATTATCATATCTCCAATTAGCATTAGATAACCTATCAATCAGATTTTGTTGATAAATAGTCTTATACTCTTCATAAAACCAGGATTGTCATGATGTAAGTTTTGAAGATCGACTTACTCCTATTCTCTTTCATCATGGCTAGCAGTTGAACAATTCTTCTGCATATTCATTTTTATCTCTCATTAACAGTACAATATAGGAGTAAATAAACTGTTGTTCTTGTTTCTTGAGGAGGGGTTTCTCAATGGAGAAACTGGAACCACGTGATTTCTTCCTTGGGGTTACTTTTGAACTTTTGCCAGTCATTGTGATTGTGGTTTTGGTTGGTGTTGGTGTTTGTGGTGAGGGTGAGACTCTTGGAGCAGTGACAACCAGTGATGAGAGTGATCTCTCTTTCCTCCTTAAAGGCACAACTTCAGGAGCCTTCACCCTTCTCCTTTTGTATGGCAAGATTTTTGCTCTCAGATCTTGTAAATTATGGTCTGGCCTGTTCTTCATCAATCAACAGTTAAGCTGTTCTTGTTTCTGTTGTTGTTGCTTGAGTAACAAGTACTCATCCAATACAGACAACTGTGGTGTAGGTATTTGAGTGTTTTATCTGTGACATGTGTTGTTGTAATAAGCTAGAAGCTTTTCGGGTGTTAATGGACCCAGTGAGGGTAGATTCTGTCCTTGCAGCCTCTGGTGGGCCCCAAATGGTGTCTCTGAAGAGGGAAATGTTTACCCTGAAATGGGTCCAACCCGGTTTGAACAGGAAAGTTAGACCAGCTACACTGTTTGCAGCAGAGTTTGACCTTTCAGATAAGCCTTGAAGAATAGACATGAACTCTGGGTTTGGAGGATTTTGAGGTAAAACTGAAGGATTTTGAAGAATGTCAGATTTAGGGGGCCCAGACCAAAGAGAGTAAGGACTAGACATAGATTTTTGCCTTTCAAGCTGCATCAATTTTGCAATTCCCATAGCTGGAATCGAACCAGGGTTCCTAAAATACCCCTGCATACCTTCAGAAAGCCCGAACTCAATGAATCTATTCTCAGCTTCTGTGGTCGACCCATGTTGAAACCTTGGATCATTCTTCATCATATCATTAGGATTAGGAATACTGGATTCATCATTGATTTCACTTTTAGCAGCAGTAAATCCAGGTGGAGGTCTGGCTTTTGCACGAAGGTGAGGCATGACATCACCAAGTAAAGCAAAAGGTGAGTCATTTGGTGCATTTGCAAGACGTACTTGCAAATCAATCCCAAAATATCAAGCCTCAAACCATCCAATAATATCAATACCAGTAAAAGGACCTTGAATTGAACCTTTATAAAAAAGAACCAAATCTTCAGGTGATGGCTGTGATTGTGAAAGTATCCTTGCTTCATGTTCCCTATCCATAGTATTTCCAGATTGTTGCCTTTTGATAACTGGATTTGTAACATTTGCAACATTTGAAACATTTGTGACATTTGTTAAACAGCTACTCCATTCATCGACAGTATTCAGTTGTGCACGTTGCCCCATGGATAAATATCATTTTTTTTTTCGGATATGGTCCAAGAAAAAAAATTTAAGCATTTTTTTGTTGCTATTTCATTGTTTCTTAATGTTTTTCAACCTGGGGTCGTCTAAATGACCATTTTGCCCTTGGCTTCTCCATTTCTTTCATCTAGCTCCTCAAGATACCAACGTTTGTAATCATTTATGGTGTAATAGGATGTACTTATATTTTTTCTATTACATCGATTGAGTTTTAGGTTTATATTTTTTCTTCATTGGATTATCATATCTCCAATTAGCATTAGATAACCTATCCAATCAGATTATGTTGATAAATAGTCTTATACTCTTCATAAAACCAGGATTGTCATGATGTGATTAAGTACACTTCATAAATCAATTATCATGAACTTAATTTGAAAAGAACATAGCCTTTAATCTCTTACTTTTTGATAAAAATCAACTTGGTCATGCTTAATTTGCAATCAGGTTTGCCCAATCTCCTAGATTCCCTGCATTAGTTATAGTTCTAGAAGGTTTATACCTGTTTTTGGTATTATCATAAAGATAATGGGTTTAGATACACTCCTAATGAAAATAGGTACTTCAAAGATACAGTTGGAGATGGAGTGGAATGATTGCTTCTGATCTACAAAGGGATTATTAGTTGGTATATAAGAGACTTTTTTTTTTAATTGTTGATCCCATTGTTTCTTTACTATAACTTTTTTTTGAGTACTTTTATAATTTTTTTTTAAATTGTCTGAGTTTCTGTTCTTATTGTAATATGTGAAATTGAGAAAATTAATCACACAAGGCGGAACTTCATTTTCTTAAAATACTTATACTTTTCTCCATTACACAAACACAATGCAAATTTCAATTCAAGAAAGAAAGGTATATTTCATTGTATTCTAAAACTTTTTTTTTTACGTAATGTTATATAATTTATAAAGAAATATTCCCGTTTCTTTCACCAGGTAAAACTGATAGACTGAAAAACGAATTTCTTTGACAACCCAGATGAGCAAATCGCTGCCACGTCATCCCTCATCATCTTTGGACTACTTACAAGAACTCCAGTTCTAGATCCTTCACATTCTGTAAGTATTTCTACATTATAAAATAATGCTATTTACAGTGAAAATTCAATCAATTTTTTCTTGTCAAGGCCTTTTACTTTGAAAATTTTACCATTTTTAGCATTGTACTTTTGTTATTATTATAAGCTTATTTCCCTTTTAAAATTCAACCCATTAATAGCATTGCATTTTTCAGGTTTCTTTAGTTTGAGGTCAACTGAACAGGAAAGGAGAATTTTGAGTATTGTGTAGTTTGTCTGGACAGTTGGTTCACTCGTTTGCTGATGTTATAAATGTTAAGCGGCCTAGAAATGGGTTTTGTAGTAAGTTTTGGCATTAATTCAAAAAACGAGTGAGTTTGTTTGTTTGCTTTTTTTTAATTAAAGTATTAATTATGGTTAGAATTGTGAGATTAATAAAACTAAAACTTTTTTTGATTGGTTTTTGTATAGGTATTTTTTCTTCGTGGATAGGAAAAGAGGATACAGTTGCTGAACTTGTGTTGGACGTTTTTTTAGGTAATTTTTTATTTTCTTTGGTATTAACCAATCTATCAACTTTTTACTAATTTGAAATTAAAAGTATTCATATTTATTTTGTCTAGTTGGGTAGAAATCAGATTTAGATGTACTTGACTTGTGCTAGTTACAGAAGCATTTTCTCTAGCATCTTTGTCTAGTAATGAACACTGCAATCAAAAAAGTAATTAGCTATTCACTTTCATTTTTAAAATACTCAAATGCTTTTCTTTTTAATGAAAAAAAAAGCAAGAGAGATTTTATTACTATTTTTTTAGAACGACCACTTGAGGGAGAGACACCTTTCTTATACACCTGATATGGTGGATGGCGGACAAATTATTACTACTACTAGCAAGATAAGTAAAAAAAATTACAATGAGAAAATAACATTTATTTTCTCTTTGTGTAGCTAACCAACTTAGTTAATTTCTAACTTAGTGCTTCTATTAAAAAAGCAAAAGAATGATTGAGATACAATTTTATCAAAATGCTCCAAATATCAACATGATAACAATTGCATCCAAATATCTCTTTGAATCACATTAAGCGCCACATGATTGGCCGAAGATGTAGAAAAAAAAGGGATATCAAAAAAAGTTTAATATTTTGTGAATAGTAACCATTTGTGATAATATAAACCTGGACCTTTGATACAAAAAGTGTCAATGAATTTTTTTCTTCCAATGTGATTATTCCATGTTTTAATAGTTAGACTTCTTGTTTATCATTGAAAATTGAAGATCTATAACCTAAGTATCAATGAACCATTTTCTTCTATTTAGTTCAAAATTAGTAAAGTATGTTGCTATTTCCTTCTCTATTTTATACTAATTATATATGTTTGTTGGAATATATTTCAGATAAATGAATTAGAGAGCATGCTCAAACGAGAAGTGAAGAAACGGGAGGAAATACAAGCCAATCTTTTGAAGCAATTCACAGGAAGATAAAAGGTAATATTGAAATAATTTGATATTTTAAAGGTTTAATTGTGAGAAATAGCAACGCACTTTACCAAAGTTCTTGATTATGGCAAAAGTACATTGCTATTATGAGTAAAGACATAAAGTATTTTGTATAATTGTGAAAAAACTGAAAATGGTTTCTATTATGATTATTTGAAAGTATGCAACTATAATGAGTAAAAACATAAAGTAAGCCCTTTATGGTCTAACATTTGAGGGCATTTATGGTATTTGACAATATATAAATATCTCTCTAGCTAACAACTCTCAATGATGGGTGTGGAATCTACGAGCTAATCAAGAAGGAATTCTCTATTGGTTGTTGACAATATTTGACAATATGGATTGAAATTTATGGTATTTGACAATATGGATTGAAATTTATAGATTTAATGTATGTCAAATGATTGAAATTTATGGATTTACTTTTATATTTGTAGGTTTCAAAATATAGATTTGATTTATGTTTAAAAAATTTGTGTTGAATATGTAATTATTTTTAGTTTTTAATTTCTTCATCGATTTGTAAATTTTTTTGTAATGCCAAAATCCGTCGATAATCTGTCACAAAAAAAATTTGTAGTCATTTCGAGATTCCGTCGGTAATTTGTTAGTAAGTTATTCCAAATTCCGTCAGTAATCCGTTAGTAAGTTATTTCAGATTCCGTTGGTAATCTGTTAGTAACTTTTTCCGTCGGTAATCCTTTAGTAACTTTTTCCGTCAGTAATCCGTTGCAAATATATTCTGTTGGTGATCCGTTACTATTTTTGATGGAAAAATCCGTCACTAAAAATTAGCCATAGCCGTCGGAAATCCGTTACAAACAATTAGCGACAAGAATATACCGACGGATTTTGGTGTGTTACAATTCCGTCGGTAAAGAGCATTAGCTACGGATTAGCGACGGTTTTGGCCGTCGGTAATGCTCTTTTTTGTAGTAGTGTGTGTTGACACTCGAACAAGCTCCATACCTGGGCTAAATGAGGAACAGTACCAAGAGTTTGTGAAGTTTTTTTTTGAGTTTGAGCAATAATGTTGAGCCGAAATTTGAGGCCAACATGACAGGTAATGGGGACGATGTGTGGGTTGTTGACACGGGTTGCACCGATTACATAATTCACAAACCCAACCTTCTTGAAAATAAGAAGGGAATCTCAAATGAGGCTCCTGTCGTTATACCAAATGGGGATGCAATCCCTGTTGAGGGAAAGGGAGATTTTTTGCTGCCTGGGGGGGGGGGGGGGGGGGGGGGCAAAATTAAAAAGGGTACTTTATATTCCTAATTTTAAGCATAACCCTCTCTCTGTTAGGAAAATATGCAAGGATCTCCAATGTGCTGTAACTTTTTTCCCCACTTTTTTTTTGTCAGGGGCTTCGAACGAGGAACTTGAGTGGATCGGTTAAGTGCCAAGGGGGGTTGTATCTCATGGACATGTTCAAGAAGGGAAGACGAGCCATGATGGCCACCGCGGATACATGACATAAAAAATTAGGACATGCTTCAAGGGATAAACTCTCCAACATAATTTTTTTTTAAAAATAATTATAGTAAACTTAGCAATGTTTTTTGTGATTCGTGTGCTAAGGCCAAACATGTTCGTAATCCTTTTCCAAACAGTTTTATTAAAACCAATGGTTGTTTTGAACTCATTCATTGTGACATTTAGGGAGGTTATCGGGTTCCTTCATAGGAACACCGGGCCAAGGGATTCTTCTTCCCCGCAAAGGACCTTTAACCTTGACTGCCTACTACTATGACTCAGATTGGCTTGGGTGTTCCTTCACAAGGCGGTCCAAAACAGTGTACCTCCTCTTTTTTGGTGGTGGCCCCATTTCTTGGAAAACGAAGAAGCAGTCAGTCGTCTCTTGGTCTTCGGCATAGGCAGAATATAGGGCAATGGCTTCCACTGTCATTGAAATTCTTTGGGTGAGATGGTTACTCAAAGATATGCAAGTTTAGCTCACAACACCAACATCCTTGTTTTGTGATAATCAAGTGGCTCGTCACATAGCCAACAATCCCGTTTACCATGAACGGACAAAACATGTC